TGTGTGTGTGTGTGTGAAAATATAAAAAGTGGTTTGTGTTGTAGTTTGGTTGGCAAGCTCGGGAGTGATCGCATCTTTAGGGGGATGAGAAGTGGCATAAACATTAAAACTCTGAGGTCCGCGCTGATTTATCGGATCGGCGCTGGGGCCCCCTGGCGGCGCCTCCGGGGCCGCCCCTGGCGCGCTCCGCGCGCCAGGGAGGGGGGTCCAACGCCGATCTGAGAAATCCGTGCGGACCTCCGAATTTTTATGTTTATGTCACTTCTCGTTCCCCCAATCTTGTCAACCTGCAGGAAGATACTGGAGTGCCGGCCACGCATACTGGGGACACGGGGAGGCGAGGAGACGGGCCGCAGAGGCCAGCAGCCAAATGACTCTTACCCTCGGAGCATGTGTGGACGTCGGCACATGCAGACCAAGATACACAACACGAGTTTAAGGTTATGATGGCGTGCGTTTTCCATGCGTATACATGCGGATACTTACGTATCGACATATATACATGTGTATCTTCATACGCACAACCAGACCGATGCGTTGTACAATATGCCACTACGGACGCAACAACGTATGACTTCTCTTAAAGAACGTGTCACGGCACAACTTGATTCCCGACCGGGGGGCCGAGTCGCGGGCGATCTGGGAGCGTCCAAGAGGGCCCAAAAATGCCCCGAGATGCCAAAGACGACCATAAGACGACCATAAGACGACCAAGACGGCCCAAGATGCCCGCAAGACCAGGCAACAGGCTCCCTCGACGGCCCGAAGACCCTAAGAGGCGAACATGATTGGTTTTCATACGTTGATCTTCCTCCGATTTCGGGACGCTCGTCTTGATCATTCGAGCCTCCACCGACGGTCGAAGGAGACCCCCAAGCTCGCCACAATGCGGCGCACAGGGCGCCCCAGAGGGCCCCAAGAGGAGCTATCAGGAAGGGCCGACGACGGTTCAACAGGAGCTGGCGCAGGGGCTCCAAACAGCCGACCAGAGCCCCAGCAAGGCCCTACAGGTCCTCCAAACAGACAGACAGACAAACATGCCATACGCCGGAGCGCGTGGGCAGAAACAGCATGCATCGCCAGCCTGGTCTCACCGCTTTGCGGGAGCGGCGGGGTGCAGGATAGAACTGTTAGACTGCGTAGTGCGTGTCAGGAGGCCGAAGGGGGGGGGGAAGGAAAGGAGGCATGAACAACGTCAACCACGTCTCAGGGGGTCTCAAGACGCCCCAACAGGGGCTCAAGACGATCCAACAGACCCCCCGACAGCTTCACAACGGCCACAAGGGATTCACAGGACGGGCCGACTCGCAACACTGGATTAGCGCGGCAACGGTCAGAGGAAGTGTGTATCGATGCGTGTATATATACACATATATATGTATATACTTATATGTGTATGTACACACATATATATAATATAGTACCAGGGTGCCAATATAACACCATGCTTGTAGTGTATATGTTCATTGTGAAAACAAATATACATAATTATATGTACATGTGTGCATCTACCGACATATTGCAGATACCAGCCGAACCCGCTTGCCAGGGATGAAGAAGCGTGACAAATGTGGCTGTCACCCTCCCACATGTCCCCCTCCTCCAAGATCCCAAATTTCGAATGGGGGGAATCTCACACGGGCTCGTGAACACACCTCCAGGGCCCTCTGAGCCTCCAAGTCCACCCTCCGTGGCTTCCACGATGCCGTGCATGTCGCAAGGTCCCTGAGACGCCCCAAGCCAGGGGGCAAAGGGGACCACCATGAAGTCTTCCGAAACTGAACATAATACATGTTTTCGCTGAGGCTTGCAATGCTGTTCGCGTTCTCGCCTTTTCGGGCTTCCCTCTGAAAAGCCCCCCAAAGTCGGAGGGGCCTACAGGACTGGACCCAAGACGGCCCGGGACGCCCCCCCAGTTTCGGCCAAAGAGGGCCTTGTTTCGGCGAAGGGGGCGCCAATAATTTTTCCCTCCTGAAGCACGACGAGACGCAACATTCAACACATGTGAGGTCGGAAGCCTCGCCGAGGCCACCACCCAGACTCCCGTGCAGGCTTGGCGGCAAGCGAAGGGGGGAAATGAGAAGGAGAAGGCCTTCTCAGAAGGCGACGGGACTTAGCGCCTTCCGAGAAGTGTTCAGCGTCCTCGGGGAAGGCTTACACAAGTTCTCAAAGTCTGGGGAACTTCAGAGCCTTCTGAGAAGGCCCGCTCCTTCTTACTTCCCCCCTGGCTCGCCGCCGAACGACGAGACGTGGCATTCAATACATGTGAAGTCGGACGCCTCACTGAGGCCCCAGCCAGACTCCCGCTGAGGCCCCACACACTCGGGTCGGCAGAACGGTTTCGGCTTTTGGGCTGTGACAGCCACTGCATATACAAATCTACCATCGCTGCTCTGGGCGACGCACTCTCATGATATGAGGAAATTTTGACAATAAGAAGTGCGCCACAAGAAATGGAAGCGGCCTCGTTGGGCGACATTCCTTCCAGGCGGAACTTCTCAAAGAGCTCCTTGACGACCTCTGGACTCAAATTCACAGCGGGCGGTCGCAATCATCCCGGCGCGCGCTGAAGCGCCCGCCAAAACACGCACACGCGCACTCGCACGCGCGTTTTGTTCTCCGCCAGCGCTGGCAACAAGACCGCATCTGAGTTTCAGCAACGCGAGAATTGTAACGGTCGCACGCACACATACTCGCACACATGACTTCTTCAAAAGCCGGCGCGCCGGAGCGGCCACGTTTTGTCAGCTTCGCTGACGGGCAAATCAAATCGCACAGCCTGCGCTGAGGCGTCGAGCAAATCACATCGCGGACGCGCAAATCAAATCGCAAATCAACTCGCGGACGCGCAAATCACATCGCACAAGCAAATCAAATCGTGGCATCCCCGAACACACACTTACACTTGCTTTCATCCGCTGGCGCTGTGGATCACAAGCGCGGCATAAGCCTAAGGAGCACGGAAACAGACGTTGTTGTGACATAGTGCTCCATGCGGCTGACTAGGTCATGGGATGCCACATGTGGGGGGGAAGACACACACACACACATCACTCACTCACTCACACACACACGTGCACACTCACGCACACACACAAACACACACGCACACACCTACTCACACACGCACACACAGACGCGCAGTAGCTGTACGAACGTGTAGCTCTCTGTCGAACGTCTAACGCTCTAACAGCAAAACAGATGACAGAAACAATGCTTGCACTTTTTGTCCTTCTTATGTTGCCTGGACGGGTCTGCCAGGGTATCGCCGGGTGCCCGGCTGGGTGGCCCATAGGCTTAAGTCGGGCGTGTTCCCCTACAGGCGGAGTTTGGACGAAACATAACATACGATCAAATAATGCCCAAAACATGTTCAAACATAACAGATAGTCAAACACTGCCCAAACATGTTCCAAACATAGACGAAAAAACGTCTCCAGGCTAGGCCATTGCTTGACTGTTTTTGATTGATCCCCCTGGAGGAGGAGGAGGAGGAGGAGGAGGAGGAGGAGGAGGAGGAGGGCCAGGCCCCACTTGACCATCGGCGCCTCGTGGGCGCCCCCGTGCGCTGCGGGGGACTGCCGGGGCTTCGCCCGCGCCCCGCGCGCCAGGGGTCCGCGGGGGCTCCGCCGCGTGCCCGGCCCGCGGCTGCCCTGGGGCGCCTCGCTCACCATCGCTCCGACGTGCATTCCCTGTGCTTTTTCGGTCTCGTGCGCGGTGTTTTCGCCAAATGACCGAGGATGCCCCTCGATGGTCCTCGCCGAAGGGAAAAGGCACACGTCCGAGCGATGCCGAGCTCGTGGGCGCACGCAGCGCTTGCACCACACAGCTTCAGGGGCTCCCAACTTCGCGCTTCGCGCCGCACGAGGCGCGGAGTGCGAACAACTTCGCGCTCTCGCGCCGCCTCCTCCTCCCTCCTCCCTCCTCCTCCTCCCTCCTCCTCCTCCTCCTCCTCCTCCTCCTCCTCCTCCACCCTCCTCCTCCTTCTCCTTCTCCCAGGGGAGACGAGGAGGATGAGGAGGAATCGAAGCCGAACCGCGAAGCGCGAATCACTTCGCGCCCTGGAGGGCGCCCTTGTAGCTTGCACTGCAGAATCGTAGCTTGACCCACATAGCTGTCGCCACATTGATAGCACCATGTGGCCTTCGCCACACGGCATACGCCACATTTGCTGTGCTGCTTGCGTCACTCAGAACCGCCAAGTATCGTCTACCGCAACTCCCACGCCATGCCACATGAGTTCGAACGCCAGTATTGCGTCACATCCACTGAGCAACACGGCGTTCACCACGTAGCTTTCAACACGTAGCTGGCAACACATACATTGCAACACGCACAACGTATCTCATTGCGTGCAACACACATATGGCACACTAAGCATGCAGGGTCGTATTATTTGAGGTCCACGCTGGCTAACAATTCTACATACGCCGTGTAGCTGTATTGAACTACTTGTTATATCTATGAGACCACCCTTCGGGTGAAATCGAGTTTCGGGGGTAGGGCGGAGCGGGAACCAAAGTGTCATGCAATCGATCTTACGTCGATCACGCTCTCGATCTCACAACAGATCTCACGATCGATCTCACCATCGATCTCACAACAGATCTCATAATCGATCTCCCAATCGATCCCATAATCGATCTGGCAATCGAACTGCCTATCGATCTCACATTCGGACCCATTACCGATCTCACAACAATTCTCACTATCGGTCCCACGATCTCAAAATCGATCTCACTATCGTTCTCACTATCGGTCTCAATGTCGATCTCACAATCGAACATTCAATCTCACAAGCGATCTCCGTATCCATCTCACTGTCGATCCCTCTTTTATATGAGTGCCGATTAACCGCGCAGCGGTGAGGTGCAGCAAAAGTCCTGTGGACTGGATCACAACTGACGATCTGCCACCCACGCGCCCGCCCGTGTCACTGCGCCGACATGCGACGCCGCGTCGTCGCTGTCACAGCGGGCCCCGGTCGGGACCTCAGAACTCTAGATGGGGGCCTCCGCGCTTGCAGAGGGCACCGCCGCCGCCACCGCCCGCTGCGCCGGATACGCGCCGCACACGTCGCAAAAGGTGGCTTCGCCGATCTCGAAACAGCAACCTGCGCAACCCTGGCCGAGCGGGAGCCGCTTCTTCTTCGGGTGGTCGGCTCCGTCGCGTCCGAAGCACGCCTCGAACGCGCGGAAATTGGCGAGGTGCTCCTTCCCTTGGAGCGCGTAGCCGCGCGAAAGCATGTCGGCGGTCGCGGCCGCCAGCTCCTCGTCCGAGATGGAGTCGGACCAGAAGGCGTCGCCGCTGACAACTGTGATGCCCGAGCCCACCTCTATCGGGTCCTTGCGCCGCCACGACGAGATGGTGTCGAACGCCTCGCGCAGCGGCAACTTGCCACACTGGTGCAGTACCCGCTCGCCACCGTGCGTGAGGCGGATGGGGCGCACGCCGACGCAGTCGAAGCGCTGCGTCTCCCTCACGGCCCACGCGACAAAGTCGGGCTCTGTGTACGGGCTGTGGGACTCGAGGCCATACATGGCAGCCAAGTCGCCCGTGGCAAACGTCCACTGCGCGCACATCTTGTCGCGCTTGGCCTTCCATTCGGCAGGGTCCATGTCGTCGTTGCCCCACATGAAGGAGTAGCCGGCGAACAGCTCGTCCGCACCGTCGCCAACCACGGCGTGCCTGAAGCCGAGCTCAGAAGCCTTGCGCATCGCCGCAGCGACAACGAGCGAGTTGCGCAACGTCATGCCGTCGAATGTCGCGAGGGCCTTGACGCAGGCAGGCAGATATGTGTCGATGAGGTCGGCGGAGGTGACCTCGACGATGTGGTGCGGCAGAAAGTGCTCCTTCGCCGCGGTGATCGCGAACTCCCTGTCTGGGCTGTCGGGTCCGGTGAGCACTGTGACACCCGCCCCGAAGGTGACACCCAGCTCCCGCGCGCACGCAAGGATGGCGCAGGTGTCGACGCCGCCGCTGAGGATGATGCAGCGCTCGCGTGGCGCCGTCCGACTCGCGATGGCCGAGAGTGCCGCCGAGAGGCGGCTGCGGAGTTCCACGGCCGCCATGGGCGCGCCAGCGACGCAGCGAGGTCGCGGGGCAGCGTCAGAGGAGGGGGGCGAGGTAGGGCGGTAGTCCCAGCATTCAGGTCGTTGCGTGGTCACTGTCGATACCACTGCAGATCTCACGGGCGCCTCATCATCGATCCAGGACAGATCTCACCGTCGATGCCACAACCGATCTCACCATCGATCTCGCAACGGATCTCACTATAGATATCACTATCGATCTCACATCAGATGTCATTGATGATTGTACATTCGGACTCACTAGCGATCTGACAATCGAACTCACTGACCACTATCGATCTCACAAGCGATCTCACGATCGATCTTACAACAGGTCTCACGATAGATTTCACCAGCGGTCTGACAATCGAACTCACTATCGACCTAATATTCGAACCCACCATCGATCTCACACCAGTTCTCACAATCATGCTCACTATCGATCTCACCATGAATCTCACTATCGATCTCACAACAGATCTCACAACAGACCTGGCAATCGATCTCACTATCGATCTCAATATCGACCCAACTGTCGATCCCACTATAGATCCCACTACAGATCTCACGAAAGATCTCACCATGTATTTCACAAGAGATCTCACAACAGATATCACGATCGATCTCACAACAGATCTCACTATCGATCTCACCGCCGCGCCACCGACGGGACACCCTGCGCCACCGACGGGATATCGCGCGCCACCGACTGGACACCCCCCCGCCACCGCGCGCTGGGGGGGGGGAGGGGCGGACAACCGTCTCCACAGCCCCTAGCCACGGCGACATCATTCCTCTCGCGCGCCCACGCAACTTCGCCTCGCCCGCACGTGCGACACGAACACGAAACCGAAACCGATTTTCCAGTGGGTGGCTCTCCGTTCCACTGCGATCTCACAACAGATCTCACAATCGATCTTAGTATCGATCTCACTGTCGATCCCACTAGAGATCTCACGAGCGATCTCACCATTGATCCCACAACAGATCTCACTATCGATCTCACAACAGATCCCAATATCGAACTCACAACAGATCTCACTATCGATCTCACAATCGATCTGAGTATCGCTCTCACGATCGATTTGATAATCGAACTCACTATCGATCTCAGAAATGATCTCACCATCGATCTCACTATCGATATCCCAATGGATCTCACCATCTATCTGACAATCGAACTCACCACCGATCTCACATTCGGACTCACAATCGATCTCGTAGCAGTTCTGACTATTGGTCTCACTACTGATCTCGCATTCGATCACACCGTCGATCTCACTATCGGTCTCACAATCGATCTCAGCATCGATTTCACAACAGATCCCACTACCGATCTCACTGTCGATCCCACTATAGATCTCACGAACGATCTGGTCATGGATCCCGCAACAGGTCCCACTATCGATCCCACAACAAATCTTACTACCGATTCAACAACCGTTCTCGCAATCGATCTCACAACATATCTCGAAATCGATCGCACGGTCGATCTCAATATCCCTCTCACTGTCGATCCACCTATAGATTTCATGAACGATCCCACTACAGATCTCACGAACAATCTCACCATGTATGTCACAAGAGATCTCACAACGTATCCCACGATCGATCTCACAACAAATCTCACTATCGATCTCACTGCCGCACCACGACGGGACACCCCGCGCCACCGACGGGATATTGCGCGCCACCGACGGGACACCCACGGGACACCGCCGCGCCACCGGCGGGACACCCCCCCGCCACCGCGCGCTGGGGGGGAGGGGCGGACAAGCGTCCCCACAGCCCCTAGCCACGGCGGCATTATTCCTCTCGCGCGCCCACGCATCTTCGCCTCGCCCGCACTCACGACACGACCACGAAACCGAAACCGATTTCCTGGTGGGGTGCTCTCCGTTCCATTGCGATCTCACCCCCTCACCTCGGACGCATACGGTTGTGTGTAAATGCATACATGAATAAATGGCACGTACGTGCCCAGGCTCATACAAACATGTAAGCAAGATGTATGTGTACAACGTGTATAGTTTGTGTTATGCGCGGTGTGCGCTTTGTGCGTGCGTGTTGTGATGTTTGTGAACCGTGTGCGTTGTGTGGGTAATGTACAGTCTGAGTGTTGTGTATTAGCTGTGTCGTGTGTGCGAGCGTTGTGTGTTGCTTGTGTTGGGTATGTTGTGTGTGTGCTGTGTTCTTTGTGTTTTGTTTGAGTGTGTGTGTTCTGTGTGTTGTAGGTGTTGTGTGTGTGTTCTGTGTGTTGGGTGTGATCTATGTGGTGTCTTTGTTATGTGCGTACTATGTGTGTTTGTTGTACGCCGAGGCTCGAACTTGGGAGGATCTCGAGCGAAACTGCCGTCATCTAAGAATCGTGTTGGAAAAGGGACTCGATGTTTCGAGAATGTCTCAAACGAAACTGCAATGTTCGAAGAGTCGGGCTCAACATCATTGAATCCCATGGTGCGTTTGAAGATTTGATCTTACGTATTGAAAAACGTCTTCGGACCGTGAAGTTGCGATCTGCGTGAGGGGTGCGCCCGACTGTCATAATGTCGATGATGTCCCGAGCAAAATGGCCAAACAAATAGTCGCGGCTTCAATTAAGCTCTACTCCCTTGGACTTTGTAGTTGGTTAACTTCTATTCATATCGCGCGATCTGGCGACGGGCCACATGCGCAACATTAGCTGCACAAGGTCATCGTTCACGGCATCCACACGGGACACCCGCATGGGACAAGCGCACGCCTCTGTGGGAACAACCGCACACAACAACCGCAAGGGACACCGCACGGGACATCCACACGGGACGACCAAGCGCGACAACCACGGAACAGCAACAGAACGATCGCGAAACAAGGGCACCCAACCTTGCGCTTCGCGCTGCGCGAAGCGCGAAGTGCGAATAACTTCGCGCTCTCGCGCCGCCTCCCAGGAGAGAGGAGCAGGATGAGGAGGAATGGGAGCCGAACCGCGAAGCGCGAATAACTTCGCGCCCTCGAGGGCGCCCTTGGCGAAACAACCCACCTGGCCCTGGCCCCGCCAAGAGAAAGACCACCTGTTGGTCGATCTTTCTCATGGCCATGGCCGCACACGCAGCCTCGCAGCTCGCCTCGTCCGCACGCGCGACACCAACCCATCAACACCAAGGGCTCCCAACTTCGCGCTTCGCGCTTCGCGCTTCGCGAAGCGCGAAGTGCGAGTAACTTCATGCTCTCGGGCCGCTTCCCAGGGGAGAAAAGGAGGATGAGGAGGAATGGGAGCCGAACCGCGAAGCGCGAATAACTTCGCGCCCTCGAGGGCGCCCTTGAACACCGAAACTGGCTTCTGGGTCTGGGGCGCTCGTTTTCATACCTGCTGCCTCTCCGCCCAACCTCTGAGAGACGGGATTCCTGCCGTTCGAGGCAGGGCTAGGATTATGTCGGGCCTGTCCCCCTCCAGGCAGATGTTCGACGAAAACTTTCAAATGCACAAGAAACTCCCAAAAACGATCCAACATAGTCAACAAAATCATCCCCCGACTAGTTGTTTGCGCTATTCTTGATCATTCCTCCTGTAGAGGGGCAGGCCCGACTTAAGGCTGGGAGGGGCATACGAGGCTCACAGGGTACTCGTTCTCGTGCCGGTCTCGCCGCCCGGCCTCTGACGGATGCGTTTCCTGCCGTTCGGGGCAGGGACAGAGGCTCACACTGTGAACACAGGCAGGTCGGGCGCGTCCCCCTACGGGAAGATTCTCGACGAAAAAAAATCGAAATACTCAGAAAATACCCCCGAATAGTCCAAAGATAAGCAACAAATAGCCCCAAGACTATGTTTTGACTATTTTTTGAACATTCCTCCTGTAGAGGTACGAGGCGGGGCTTATACATATCCACCGCCTGGGAACCGACGTCCTGGTGCCCCAGCGGGCGGTGGATATGGGTATATTTTGGCCCTGGGGGGGCCCGAATACATCCACATCCGCCGCCTGCCGAGGTCCCTGAAAACTGACCCTCCAGGCGGTGGTCGTGTATACATTCCCGCCTGGGAAGAGGGGCGGGCCCGACTTAAGAACACAGGGAAGGGCCAGGCGGGGCGCGCGGCAAGCACTACGGTAGCGCTCCCGGGCCATCGCGGCCTGCAGACGCAACCCCCAACAGGTCACCAGTCCAACGCATTGCTGGCCTCCACGACGAGCTGTTGCCTCTCGACTTTTTGCTCGACTGCTGCCCGAGACTGGCTTAAACATGGGAACCTAGCGGGATGAGAATACAGTCAACCAGTATCATACAGATGCGCGGTAAGGATACAAGGGCCTGGGACGCCCTTTGTGAAGCTTGTCGGGCGGGGCGGCCAACGAAAGTGGCCAAGGATGGGCCGAAGAGACAAGGATGCAAGGGTACCCTTGGGAAGGTTGCCCATCCTTCCTATGCGGGTTGACTATATTGCATCTCGTATTTTTGTTTGACTGCTGCCCATGGGAACCTAGTGGGATGAGAATGCCATGGGCGCTACGGAAATGCGCAGACGTGCATACACAAACGCGCGCAAGCATGAACACCACAAGCACGCGCGCGTTGCTGTGACTAGGAAGCGTTCGCCAAAGACAGCACATTCCACGGCCTACTCGAACATTGCATGGCAACCACAAACACAGCACTACTTCTACAATAGAAACAACCCAAATGGTAACGGATGCGCAGACGCCTGCTTCATGTCCGGGGGCTCGCGTGCCTGACCAGACGACGACCCGCGCTCGGAAATGAAGTGCCACGGGCATGCACGGACAGACCCGAATCTGAACGGGACTCTTCGCGCTGATGCATGTGTGCGGCACCAACTATGAATTTGAATGCAACAATGTGGAAATGACATGTCGTTGGGCCACGTCTTGGCAACGCTGGGACGAAGACGAAGACAATGCGGAGGAGGTTGAGGAAGGAGGCGGAGGAAGACGAGGCTGACACACTCAAAAGGACCTCGTGACATGGAGGGGAACACGGGAATCCACAGCAACTACGTATCG